TGTTTTCCCTGACCCTTTAAAAAAAAAAAAAGAAATTAAAATGCATCAAGTTGTCCTTTGAGCCTCCTCGCTCCACCGAGTCCACTCCACAGCGTTGTGGGAGGGAAGGAGGAAAAAAAAAAGGCAGGAGTATTAGGTGCTTTCCACCTTGAGAGAGAATAAAAAACATGGGACAACAATATAATGTATTGCTTCTCGCTAGCCGAGTTGCACGTCCCGCACAATCCTGAAGTGTCTTTTCTGAAAAGTTGTAGGCTGTCCTTTCTTTTAGAAGTCTTAAGGAGAAGAAACGTAGGTAGAAAGGCAGACTTTGTACCTGTCTGAAACGCAGTTCAGATTTTTCACTCCAGATGTGGGTACCTGCATTTGTACCTGTGAGTTAACCTGTTGCATCGAAGTAGGCCCGTCCCACCTCCTACCCCTAGCAAGATTGACTAAAACAAGGTTCTTCCAATTTGGCAAGTTTAAGACTTGTGGACTTCCAACTTTCAGAATTCCTGAGCTCACATGACTGGAGGAGGAATTCTGGGAGTTGAAGTCCACAAAGCTGTCGAGTTTGAAGACCCCCTGGGCTAAAACAATGTTTCTCAACTTGAGCGACATCCTGGCTGGGGTATTCTGGCAGTTGAAGTCCACACCTCCTAAAGTTGCCGTCCCACTGCGCTCAGGTATATCTCTGGCAGATGCTCGTCCAGCTTGAAGCTTTTGAGTTTTGGTCATCTCTGGAGCCATCAAGAATACACCTACTCCCTCTTGTGTGAAATACCCTTCAGATACTTAAGAATCAGAGTCTCTTGTCGTATCATGAGCCTCGGTGGCACAGTGGTTAGAGTCGGTACTGCAGGCTACTTCTGCTGACTGCCAGCAATTTGGCAGATTGAATCTCCCCAGGCTCAAGGTTGACTCCGCCTTCCATCCCTTCCGAGGTGGATCAAATGAGGACCCAGATTGTTGGGGGCAAGAGGCTGACTCTGTAAATCGCTTAGAGAGGGCCGAAAAGGTACTGTGGAGCAGTATATAATTCTCAAGTGCTGGAGCTATTGCTACTGGAGTGGATTTGGGGAAGGTTCAGAAAATTCAGTCTTCTGTCTTTCTCTGCTGAGCTCAGCCTCCCATCCTTACGAGGTGGGTAAAATGAGGACCCAGATTGTTGAGGACAAGATGCTGACTCAACTGCTCAGAGAGGGCTGTAAAGCACTATAAAGCGGAATATAAGTCTAAGTGCTATTGCTAAGTGCAAAGGAAGGAAGGAAGGGAGAAAGGATGGATGGGAGGGAGGAAGGAAGGAAGGAAGGAAGGAAGGAAGGAAGGAAGGAAGGAAGG